GGCTTTTGTTTTTGTGCGTAATATTTGGAAGTAAAGTAGTCATTCCTGATCATCTGTGTCCTGCGCCTGACTTCACCGCCGCATACACATCACATCATTTCTGACAGAATAACACACCACCCATGGAGTCAGGAGGACCAGCGGCGGTGACCGAGTCGCTGGAGGATCGGGTCAGCAGCCAGGACGCCACGATCCGTAGACTCGGCACCGCCATGCAAGATGTGATGGACACTCTGAGCCGATGGGAAAGAGGAGGCTTGCCCACACCTCCTCCTACATTACCACCACCAACGGCCAGCCCCATCGTACCATCTCCGGAGTCCAGTGGGATTAGGCTCTCGCTCCCGAGGGCATATGATGGCACCGCAGCCGGGTGTCAGGGTTTCCTACTGCAAGTGGAACTCTACCTAGCAACCATACACCCGGCGCCCTCGGGATACGAGAGCGTTTCCGCCCTCATCTCCTGTCTATCCGGCAAGGCTTTGGAGTGGGCCAATGCCGAATGGAGGGGAATAGACGCCGCCACCATCAGCTACGCGGAGTTCTCCCGCCGCTTCAGGGCTGTTTTAGATCACCCCCCAGAGGGTAAAGCGGCGGGGGAGCGTCTGTTCCACCTCCGACAGGGGAAGAGGAGCGCACAAGAGTTCGCCCTGGACTTCCGGACTCTAGCGGCTAATGCGGGGTGGAATGAGAGGGCCCTCATCGACCACTATCGGTGCAGCCTACGAGAGGACGTTCACCGAGAGTTGGCCTGCAGGGACACCAATCTAAGCTTCGATCAGTTGGTGGACATGTCGATCCGTCTGGATACCCTGCTGGCTACCCGCGGACGTCCGGAGTTGGGGCCGTCCCATTCCATCTCCCAGCACCTCCGAGCCGAGCCCTATGGAGCTCGGGGGTGCTGGCGCTAGAGAGAGGAGGAGAGAGACCCGGAGGGAGGCCGTCCTCTGCACCAACTGTGGCCGTAGAGGACACACTGCGGTTCGGTGCTGGGGAGGGTCTCCTGGGGATCGAGGCAACAGGTCACGCACTGATGAGTCATTCCAGGTGAGTAGGCGCCCAACTCACCCAGAGCTCTCTGTTGTCCACCTGTGTATTCAAGTAGAATTTCCCCTGGTTTCATCTCATTCACAGCATAAGGCGCTAGTCGATTCAGGCGCAGCTGGGAATTTTATTGATCGTAATTTTTGTGTTAAGTTAGGGATTCCCCTCCTACCAGTAGATGTGCCTTTTCCTATTCATGCCCTAGATAGCCGTCCGTTCGGAGCTGGTTTGATTAGGGAGGTCACAGCGCCACTAAATATCATCCAGTTGTATCTGATCGACTCTCCTGCGTATCCCGTGGTGCTGGGACTTCCTTGGTTAATCTCTCATGACCCCACCATTTCGTGGCAACAGAGGGCTCTCAAGGAGTGGTCTGACCAGTGTGTCGGGCGGTGTATAGGTGTTTCCGTAGGGGCGACCACGGTGGAAAGTCCGAACCAAATGCCCGCACTGCACATTCCTCCTGAGTATGATGATTTGGCACTCGTGTTCAGTAAGAAGAGGGCGACGCGATTGCCACCTCATAGACAGGTGGATTGTGCGATAGACCTCCAGGCAGGTGCTGCACTTCCGCGTAGTCATGTGTATCCTCTTTCTCAAGAGGAGACGGCGGCTATGGAGACATACATCGCCGAGTCTCTGAGACAAGGATACATACGGCCCTCCACTTCTCCTGCGTCCTCGAGTTTCTTTTATGTGAAGAAGAAGGATGGAGGTTTGCGCCGGTGTATTGATTACCGTAGTCTCAATCAGATCACTGTTAAATACAGTTATCCTCTCCCTCTGATTGCGAGTATGACGGAATCATTACACGGAGCGCGTTTCTTCACAAAATTGGATCTCAGGAGCGCCTACAACCTGGTGCGCATTAGGGAGGGAGATGAATGGAAAACCGCATTTAGTACCACCTCGGGTCACTATGAGTATCTCGTCATGCCATACGGGTTAATGAATGCTCCTTCAGTCTTCCAATCATTTGTGGACGAGATCTTCCGGGATTTGCATGGGCAGGGTGTAGTGGTGTATATTGACGACATTCTAGTATACTCTTCTACACGAGCCGAGCATGTGGCCCTGGTGCGTCGAGTGTTGGGTAGGCTGTTGGAGCATGACTTGTATGTAAAGGCAGAGAAATGTCTGTTTTTCCAGGAGTCCATCTCCTTCCTGGGCCATCGGTTGTCCGCGTCAGGGGTGGAGATGGAGATTGACCACGTTTCAGCCGTGCGTAATTGGCAGACTCCCACCACGGTTAAGGAGGTGCAGCGGTTTTTGGGTTTTGCCAATTACTACCGGAGGTTTATCCGGGGTTTTGGACAGGTAGCAGCTCCCATCACCTCCCTGCTAAAGGGGGGCCCGGTGTGTTTGCAGTGGTCGGCTGAGGCAGACAGGGCGTTTAGACAACTGAAGGACCTGTTCACCTCGGTTCCGGTGCTGGCACATCCGGACACCGCTTTAGCGTTCCAAGCGGAGGTGGACGCATCAGAGGCCGGTATTGGGGCTGTACTGTCTCAACGCTCAGGCACGCCTCCTAAACTCTGGCCCTGTGCCTTTTACTCCAAGAAGCTCAGCCCGGCGGAACATAATTATGACGTGGGGGACAGGGAGCTGCTAGCTGTGGTCCAAGCCCTAAAGGTGTGGAGGCATTGGCTTGAGGGGGCTCAACACCCTTTTCTCATTCTGACTGACCATCGTAACCTGGAGTACATCAGGACAGCTAGGAGACTGAACCCTCGTCAGGCTAGGTGGGCCATGTTTCTGGCCCGGTTTGTTTTTAAGCTCACCTACATACCAGGGTCCCAGAATGTTAAGGCAGACGCCCTGTCTCGGCGATATGACACAGAGGAGAGTTCCATTGAGCCCAATCCCATACTGCCGGAGTCTTGTCTGTTGGCACCGGTGGTGTGGGAGGTCGATGCGGAGATCGAGCGGGCGTTACGTACCGACCCTACTCCTTCAGAGTGTCCAGCGGGGCGGAAGTACGTTCCACTCGAGATTCGTGATCGACTAATTTATTGGGCTCATACGTCACCCTCCTCTGGACATCCTGGTATTGGCCGGACAGTGCACTGCCTTAGTGAAAAGTGCTGGTGGCCAACATTGGCTAAGGACGTGAGGATTTATGTCTCCTCCTGTTCGGTGTGCGCTCAGTGTAAGGCGCCTAGACACCTGCCCAGGGGGAAGTTACAACCCCTACCCGTTCCACAACGGCCGTGGTCTCACCTATCGGTAGACTTTGTTACGGACCTTCCCCCCTCCCAGGGGAATACCACTATTCTGGTCATTGTGGATCGGTTCTCTAAGGCCTGTCGTCTCATCCCAATGCCGGGTCTCCCTACTGCCCTACAGACTGCTGAGGCTTTGTTTACCCACGTCTTCCGGCACTACGGGGTACCCGAGGATATAGTGTCTGATCGAGGTCCCCAGTTCACCTCTAGAGTCTGGAGGGCGTTCATGGAACGCTTGGGGGTCTCGGTTAGCCTTACCACGGGTTTCCACCCTGAGAGTAATGGGCAGGTGGAGAGAGTGAACCAGGATGTGGGTAGGTTTCTGAGGTCTTATTGCCAGGACCGGCAGGAGGAGTGGTCGGGGTATATCCCCTGGGCAGAGATTGCCCAGAACTCCCTTCGCCATTCCTCTACGTATCTGACCCCTTTCCAGTGTGTGTTGGGGTATCAGCCGGTTCTGGCACCATGGCATCAGAGCCAGATTGAGGCTCCTGCGGTGGATGAGTGGTTTCGGCGCTCGGAGGAGACATGGAACGCTGCGCATGTCCATCTGCTCCGTGTCCTCCTGGCCGTCCCCGAGGCTGGGGTCGGCGCACGGCTGGAGCCGCGCGTAAAGGGGGGGGGTACTGTCACGGATGCCGCCGAGGCTGCTCCTCCTCCTTGTTCGGGCAGGCTTCGGCATTCGTCGTCCCCGGAGTACTAGCTACTGCCGATCGATGTTTCAGTGTTTGTCTTGTGTCGTCTAGTTTGTACACCGTTTCTTATTCTGTATTGATTATGTAACATATAAGTTCCCTTGTTTTATGTTTGCCTTTGTGTGTTATTGTCCTTGTGTTTTGTTCGTATGTTCGGCATTGCTAAGCTCGTACTTTACGCACTCCGCGTGTTACTCCTGTTGTGTTTGGAGGCTTTTGTTTTTGTGCGTAATATTTGGAAGTAAAGTAGTCATTCCTGATCCTCTGTGTCCTGCGCCTGACTTCACCGCCGCATACACATCACATCATTTCTGACACCCATTGTCGTGCCATTCATCTGCCGCCATCACCTCATGTTTCAGCATGATAATGCACAGTCCCATGTCACAAGGATTTGTACACAAGTCCTGGAAACTGAAAATATCCCAGTTCTTCCATGGCCTGCATAATCACCAGACATGTCACCCATTGAGTATGTTTGGGATGCTCTGGATCAACGTGTACGACAGCGTGTTCCAGTTCCAGTTTTTTTTAAGGTATCTGTGACCAACAAATGCATATCTGTATTCACAGTCATGTGAAGTCCATAGATTAAGGCCTAATGCATTTATTTCATTTGACTTTTCCTTATATGAAATGTGACTCAGTAAAATCTTTGAAATTGTTGCACGTTGTGTTTATGTTTTTGTTCAGTATAGAAGATGAGATTGTTAGCAGACTTTTGCTGTTAACTAAAAAGAGTAATGGGCCAAATATATACTGTACCATACTGTAAACAACAAGCAAAACAGAACCATTCATAATGCAGGTCAATGCATCCTATAACAGATCATTGTATTATTATGATAAATAACTGTTCTCCTCAACATGTCACTGTGATACTAGTCATTTATTTACTGTACTTCTTCTTTAATCCTAAATATTTTACTTCTATGCAAATAAAATCACTTCTCTGTATATAAAGAGGAGTCTACTCTCTTTCACTCACTTGGAGTAAATAAGTATTGGTCCTACCAGTTCAGCTTTCTCACAAACTATGTTCCCTGCATCTGTGCTGCTGGTGCTGCTGGCAGCTGCCTCCTGTGAGTTCCTTTGAGGGATTAGATTTGTGTTTGAACACAAAACAGAAGATTCTATGTTTTTTTAAAGTATTACAATAATATAATCAAACTGTATATTTGATTAGCCTCCCCAGGTGTGTGCGGTATTGTTGACCCAGAACTCACCCAGCCAAGCTCAATGGTTGTAAAACCTGGAGAGTCTTTGAGCATCACCTGTAAGGACTCTGGGTATTCTATCAGTGATGATAGCTATACCATAGACTGGATGAGATATCCTGTAGGTAAAGCTATGGAATGGATCGTTGACTCAGATGGAAACTCCAAGGATTCTTTAAAAGCAGGTTAAGCATCTCCAAAGATGGTTCCAACAACATAGTCATTTTAGAAGGGCAGAGAAGTCAAACTGAAGACACAACTGTCTATTACTGTGTCAGATATAATTACACACAGTGGTGTGAAGCAAAGCATGATCTGTACAAAAACAACAAAAATGTCTATTGCAGGAAACCATCGTTCCCTAAGGACAACACAGTTCATATTGTCACAGTCAAAATGGACACTTCCTGGGAATGTGAGATAAACTGTCTAAAAAGCTTTATACATAATGAATACATGTATCTGCAGTCATATTCAAACCATGAATAACAGACTTGTACATGTAAGTTCAAAACTGTTTAATGTTTATAAGCAGGTTATAAGCAGGTTTTTCTTATAAAGTGATACTATGTGTTTTCTTCGTTATTTTAGTGATAGAAATAATGAACATCCAAATGCACCAAAGGGGCTGGAGTGCCTAGTATTAAACAGAAAGGTTAAACCATTCATTCATAATGATGCTGACTAAATAACAACTATTAAAGGTTAAACCTTTCATAATGATGCTGACTAAATAACTATTAAAGGTTAAACCATTCATAATGATGCTGACTAAATAACTATTAAAAGGTTAAACCATTCATAATGATGATGACTTAATGACAATTATTTTGAGTGAGTTGAAAAATAAAATACAGTACGATGAACCTTATTATAGGACATTATAAAGGCTCAGACATGTTTAGAACAGTTATAACGCATTGAACCTGCCAGGAATTAGGGAAAATGTTACCTACAACTCTAAAGGTTAATTAAACCATGTTATCTAAAAATAAAAGACTAAAAAAAATGTATGCACTCACTAACTGTAAGTCGCTCGGGATAAGAGCGTCTGCTAAATGACTAAAATGTAAATGTAATACTTTACAAAAAAGTAAACTAACTGTTAAAAATGTTCTGAAGTATTTGAACAAATTATATATATTTGTATTATTACCTATCCACATACCATCTGATTGTGTTGCTATCCTCATAGACCAGGTGTGTGGTACTGGTGGGAGGTTTTTGTTATGGTTTATACAACGGGTGTGTCTAACCCTGAATGCTGATTGGTTAAAACCGCATTCCAGCCGTGTCTATTCCACAAGTTACCACCGGCTAAATCTATGACGTTAAAAAGCCTATTTACTCTTTTCCATCTGACTGCGCAATCTACTGTCTCATCAGCCCAGCCAGGCAGTTTATAAACTTTATCTCCACTATAACAATTCGTTTAGACTAACATTTAGTTTTCAACAGCGGAGATTTGTATAAACCTTGCTGTCTGTCTCTCCGAGATTTGCAACATTGTTTAAGTATTCTAATTCGATCACCAGCTGTCCCATAGTAATGAAGCTGTGTCGGGAGTTGGGACGAGACAGACAGGCAGGCAGCGTTTATCAGCCAGTCGAAATCATGAATCAGCTGGCACCACTGTAACCCTAATGAAACCTCATCATAAACATTTGTTCACATTTGGGTTTTTTCATCAGAAATTATTACTACCTTCATATGTGTGTAAAATATTACTGTTCTCAAATGTTTAATTCATAGTTTTTATATGTGTATGATTTTATTTTGACAAAACCATGTGCTGTATATCCATTGTCTAGCTGCAATGAAATGTTCATAGCATTATATTTGACTTTGATATGTGGTTGTCTCACCTAGCTATTTTAAGATGAATGCACTAACTATAAATCACTCTGGATAAAATAATCTGCTAAATGACTAAAATGTCAAAAGTAAATGTTTTACATACAGATCTCATATTAATGTAGTTATGTACTGCTTATTTTGCTAAGAGTGAGGCAGATACATAGAATTTTGCAAAAAAACATGATTATTTGTCTCTCTGAAATAAAGTGATAGATTTTGAACAAGTACATGTCTGTCACTGAACAACCCCATGCCATGATTAAATAGTCAAAAAACACACTATTCTCTTTCACAAGTTGTTTAAACAATAAAAGCTAATTTAGCAACATTTCTGAAAATGTATATATAGCGTTTTGGAATGAAACTCTTCAAATATGTTTTTAGATACCGGATGAAAGTCATTAATGTAAACTAAAATCAGTAATGGATAAAGGATAGATCCTTGAGAAACCCCCATAATGTAATGATTATGTTCTGATTTAGAGCTGTTCAGTGATGACTATAACAATGGAAGTGATAATAGTAATTATATACTGTACTGTAAAGAAATTGACAATCCAAAGTTGACTACATTTTGTATTTCATTTTGACCGTTCATAGTGCAGGTCAACACAGTTAATAACAGTCTTATCCTTTTATACCAACTCTATATGCAAAGGAGCCTAACACACAACCCCTCTCTCTGAATAAAAAGTGGACTGTCTGTCTCAGAGTCAGTTGGAGTAGAGAAGAGCTCCCACCAGTTCAGCTTCAGCACAAACCATGTTCCCTACATCTCTGCTGCTGCTCCTGCTGGCTGCTGCCTCCTGTGATTCTCTTGGGATTTGGGGGAAGGAATGGGTTGATGCTCAATCAAATATATTGAGAAAAAATAATTTCAACAATAGCCTTAACACTCATACTAATTACCATATTACTAATTATGTTTTTTTCCCTTAGATGTGGTGGTCTTGAACTCAGCCAGCCCAGTTTAATGGTTGTAAAGCCTGGTGAGTCTCAGAGCATCATTATATATAGTCAACACATCATACTACAGCCATTATATATGGTCAACACATCATACTAAAGCCATTATATATAGTCAACACATCATACTAAAGCCATTATATATAATCAACACATCATCCTAAAGCCATTATATATCGTCAACACATCATACTAAAGCCATTATATATAGTCAACACATCATACTAAAGCCATTATACATAGTCAACACATCATACTAAAGCCATTATATACAGTCAACACATCATACTAAAGCCATTATAAATAGTCAACACATCATACTATAGCAATTGTGTATAGTCAACACATCATACTAAAGCCATTCCAGTCAACACATCATACTAAAGCCATTATATATAGTCAACACATCATACTAAAGCCATTATATGTAGTCAACATATCATACTAAAGCCATTATATATAGTCAACACATCATACTAAAGCTATTATATATAGTCAACACATCATACTAAAGCCATTATATATAGTCAACACATCATACTAAAGCCATTATATATGGTGAACACATCTTACTAAAGCCATTATATATAGTCAACACATCATACTAAAGCCATTATATATAGTCAACACATCATACTAAAGCCATTATATATAGTCAACACATCATACTAAAGCTATTATATATAGTCAACACATCATACTAAAGCCATTATATATAGTCAACACATCATACTAAAGCCATTATATATGGTGAACACATCTTACTAAAGCCATTATATATAGTCAACACATCATACTAAAGCCATTATATATAGTCAACACATCATACTAAAGCCATTATATATAGTCAACACATCATACTAAAGCCATTATATATAGTCAACACATCATACTATAGCAATTGTGTATAGTCAACACATCATACTAAAGCCATTCCAGTCAACACATCATACTAAAGCCATTATATATAGTCAACACATCATACTAAAGCCATTATATGTAGTCAACATATCATACTAAAGCCATTATATATAGTCAACACATCATACTAAAGCTATTATATATAGTCAACACATCATACTAAAGCCATTATATATAGTCAACACATCATACTAAAGCCATTATATATGGTGAACACATCTTACTAAAGCCATTATATATAGTCAACACATCATACTAAAGCCATTATATATAGTCAACACATCATACTAAAGCCATTATATATGGTCAACACGTCTCATCAGTAAAATCTGAACTACAGAGAGTAGAATAAAGGACAGGGAGAAGAGAATCAAGGAATAGAATAGAAGATCTCTCCCTGTCAGGATATTTAAACCTCTAGAGGGCGGTCTATGCAAAGTCTCCCTCCCCTTCATCCCTTTATAATCAGACACTGAGCTCTGGCTTCTCATTATAGGCAGCTTGGACTGATATTACAACATTACAAGTCCTGTATTAACTAATACTGAACAATGGAGCTTATGACTGTCTGGAGTTTAGTTCTCATAGTGATGTCCATACACAGTAAGTAAAGCATTACATGGTGACTGAAGAATGTGTGAGTATCATGGTAAAACTCAAAATGTCTGTTAATACCAGATCTTCAACTGAACGTCAACATTTTTGTTTTGCAGGTGTTTTCTGTGATGAGATGGATCAGTCACCTTCTCAGGTGAAAAGACCTGGAGACGCTGTTAAATTGTCCTGTAAAATCTCTGGGTTTGATATGACAAGCTACTACATGAGCTGGATAAGGCAGAAACCAGGCAAAGCTCTGGAGTGGATTGGGGGTGTTAACTCTGGTTCAACAGATGATCCAGACTACTCAGACTCCCTGAAAGGCCAGTTCACCCTGACTGAGGACGTCTCCACAAGCACACAGTTCTTAGAGGCCAAGAGTCTGAGAGCAGAGGACTCTGCTGTTTATTATTGTGCTCGAGAGACACACTGATTGAAGCTTGTGAAGCAGCTGTACAGAAACCCACACCCCACTTAACAACATGGCTAGCTGGTGTACTACTTCCTCTCTTTGTGTCACACTAGAATAGTTCTGGGTATCATTACTGTAAATAATACAACATCAATATCACAAAGCACTACACAATAAAAGACTCCAGCTTCTTACATTCAAACTACACAGTCAAATGATCTCTTGCCCAGTCTGGTCAAGCTTTCTTCTTGTCACACAAACAGGTAATTAACAAAGTATTCAGAACGTATGAATCTGTTCTTCATCTCTGAATTCTCTATTTAATCTCTGTGTGATCTTCCCACCCTGTGAGGAGGAGTCAATGCAAAACTCTGACCTCTTCCATCACTACTTATCTCACTGCAGAGTGGAGGAGAGGGACTGAAGCTCTGACTAGACTGAGGAACAGAGACACACCATAACTACTAATTGTTCATCATGACATTTAATATTGTGGTTCTACTGATGACAATAGGCTTGACAGGTGAACACTTTTAGATCGTTTTTATTTGTAACCGAATGCTTGCTGAGTTTTTGAGTCCAGGTAGTATCTCTAATAGTATTGTTTTTTCTCCACAAGTGTTCAGGGTCAGACATTGACTGAGTCTGGACCAGTGGTTAAAAAGCCTGGAGAATCCCACAAACTGATGTGTGCATATTCTGGGTTTGGTGGAAATATTGATGCAGCTTGGATCAGACAGCCTCCTGGAAAAGAACTGGAGTGGGTTTCCTATATTAGCAGTGGTAGTACTATCTACTACTCCCAGTCTATTCAGGGTCGGTGTCTATTCAGGGTCGGTTCACCATCTCCAGAGACAATAACAAGCAGCAGGTGTATCTCCAGATGAACAGTCTGAAGACTGAAGACTCTGCTGTTTATTATTGTGCCAGAGACACAGTGACACAGGAGGCTGCAGCGCTGTACAAAAACTGATCAAGCACTTCTCTCACTGTGAGAGTCTGTGATTCTGATCTCCAGTCACTGTTAACATAAATCCCAAGGCCCCACCAACACTAGGAGAGTAGATACATCATACTCTTAATTATAACCATAATATACATGATAACTTGAAAAACATAAAATATATAGGACATCCTGTCAAGATAACTGTATGAGTATCCTCATGAAACTTTAACCGAAAACCTTACAGCCATTCAAAGTGAGTTGACAATGGCAAATAACCCCAAACAGGATCCATACTATATGCAGTCATTCAGTCAAATTCATTATCAATCTCTAGAAGCTAAAACAATTTAAGACTATTTGGTCATGTCTTTCAATTTAGTGAGTTAATTCATTTATTTATATGGAACTATAAGTCAAATTAGTACAATATGTAATACAGAACCATGAAGGTTAATAATGTTAAAGTATAGCTGAAACATGTTTAGATGGAACACGTATAGATGGAACAAGTTGAGATGGAACAAGTTGAGATGGAACAAGTATAGATGGAACAAGTATAGATGGAACAAGTATAGATGGAACAAGTTGAGATGGAACAGGTGTATTGTATTAATCCCAATAGATTCTGTAATCTTGTGCTTTTCTGAAAAACAATGCTGCCAATAACAACCCTCAAAGAACATCTCCATCTCAGTCTCTGTTTAAACCTCTAGAGGGCAGTCTATGCAAAGTCTCCCTCCCCTTCAACCCTATATAATCAGACACTCAGCTCTGGCCTTCTCATTATAGGCAGCTTGGACTGACATTACAGCGAGTCCTGCACTAAATATCACTGAACAATGGAACTGAGGATTGTCTGGAGTTTAGTTGTCATGGTGATGTCCATACACAGTAAGTAAAGCATTACATGGTGACTGAAGAATGTCTGAGTATCATGGTTAAACTCTAAATTTACATTTACATTTTAGTCATTTAGCAGACGCTCTTATCCAGAGCGACTTACAGTTAGTGAGTGCATACATTTTTTATACTGGTAAATCAATGTCAATATCATATCTTCAACTGAATGTTGAAACGTTTTTGTTTCGCAGGTGTTTGTTGTGATATCAAGCTGGATCAGTCTCCTCCTCAGGTGAAAAGACCTGAAGACACTGTTAAATTGTCATGTAAAATCTCTGGGTTTGATATGACAAGCTACTACATGAACTGGATAAGGCAGAAACCAGGCAAAGCTCTGGAGTGGATTGGGAGAGTTAACTCTGGTTCAACAGATGCTCCAGTCTACTCAGACTCCCTGAAAGGCCAATTCACCCTGACTGAGGACGTCTCCACAAGCACACAGTTCTTAGAGGCCAAGAGTCTGAGAGCAGAGGACTCTGCTGTTTATTATTGTGCTCGACAGACACACTCACTGGAGCTGGTGAAGCAGCTGTACAGAAACCCCCTAACAACACGGCTAGGTGGTGTACTACTTCCTCTCTTTGTGTCACACTAGAATAATACTGAGTATCATTACTGTAAATAATACAACAACAATATCACAAAGCACTACGCTATAAAAGAGATCAGCCTCTAACATTCCAACTATATCTTGCCCAGTCTAGTCAAGCGTTCTTGTTGACACATGAACAAGTATTTAAAGGCCCTGTGCTGTCAAAACTGTGATTTTTCCATATTTTATATATATTTCCACACTGCAAGGTTGAAATAATACGTTGAAATTGTGAAAATTATGATATTGCCATGTTAGTTTAAGAGCTTTTTGAAAAGACTGCCTGAAATTTCAGCCTGTTTTGGAGGGAGGGAGTGTTGTTCTTCCATGATGACATCACCATACAGTAAATTCATTAATATACCAATAAGAAGAAGAGTTCCAAACCTCTCTGCCAATAACAGCACATTTTTCATTTTACCCTCCCCCCTCAGACCACACCCAGACAGTCCTAGCAAAATTCTTACTTGAGAAATTGCTCTTTGCTATAAAGCTATTTTTATTTTATTTATTATTTAACAAACTATTCAGGCCACATGAACCTGTTCCCCATTCCAGACTTCTCTAGTTAATCTTTGTGTGATCATCCCACCCAGTGAGGAGGAGTCAATGCAAAACTCTGAGCTCTTCCATCACTACTTATCTCACTGCAGAATGGAGGAGAGGAACTGAAGCTCTGACTAGACTGAGGAACAGAGACACACCATAACTACTAATAGTTCATCATGACGTTTAGTATTGTGGTTCTACTGATGACAATAGGCTTGACAGGTGAACACTATTAGACCGTTTTTATTTGAAACAGAATAATCACAGATGTTTTCAGTTCAGGAAATATCTCAAATGTTACTTTGTTTCCACAGGTGTTCAGAGTCAGACATTGACTGAGTCTGGACCAGTGGTTAAAAAGCCTGAAGAATCACACAAACTGACCTGTACAGCCTCTGGGTTCACTTTCAGTAGCTACTGGATGGCTTGGATCAGACAGGCTCCTGGGAAAGGACTGGAATGGATTGCAATAATAAGATATGATAGTGGTGAAATCTACTACTCCCAGTCAGTTCAGGGTCGTTTCACCATCTCCAGAGACAATAGCAAGCAGCAGGTGTATCTCCAGATGAACAGCCTGAAGACAGAAGACTCTGCTGTTTATTATTGTGCCAGAGACACAGTGACACAGTGTGCTGCAGCACAATACAAAAACTGATCTCACCCATCTACACACAATATCCCATAAAGACAAAGTGAAAACATGTTTTAGACAATATTTGAAATGTATTGATAATGAAATACAGAAATATCTAATTTACATAAGTATTCACACCCCTGAGTCAATACTTTGTACAATCACCTCTGGCGGCGATTACAGCTGTAAGTCTTTTTGGGTAAGTCTCTAAGAGCTTTTCACACCTGTATTGTACATTATTTTCCCATTATTCTTTAAAAAAGTATTCAAGCTCTGTCAAGTTGATTGTTTATCATTGCTTGACAGCCATTTTCAAGTCTTGCCATAGATTTCCAAGCCGATTAAGTCAAAACTGTAACGAGGCCACTCAGCAACATTCAATGTCATCTTGGTAAACAACTCCAGTGTATATTTTACCTTGTGTTTTAGGTTATTGTCTTGCTGAAAGGTGTATTTGTCACCCAGTATCTGGTGGAAAGTAGACTGAATCACATTTTCCTCTAGGATTTTGCCAGTGCTTACAGCTGTATTCTGTTTATTTTTATCCCAAAAAACTCCCTAGTCCTTGCCGATGACAAGCATACAGTTAACATGATGCATCCACCACCACTCTTGAAAATATGAAGAGTGGCACTTAGTGATGTGTTGTGTTGGATATGCCCCAAACAACGCTTTGTACTCAGGACAAAAAGTTAATTTCTTTGCCACATTTTTTGCAGTGTTAATTAAGTGCCTTGTTCCAAACAGGATGCATGTTTTGGAATATTTTTATTCTGTTCAGGCTTCCTTTTTTTTACACTGTCATTTAGATTAGTATTGTGAAGTAACTACAATGTTGCTGATCCATCCTCAGTTTTCTCATACTGTATCACAACCATTAAACTCTGTAACTGTTTTAAAATCACCATTGGCCTCATGGTGAAAACCCTGAGCAGTTTCCTTCGTCTCCGGCAACTGAGTTAGGAAGCACGCCTGTATCTTTGTAGTGACTGGGTGTATTGATACATAATCTAAAACCTAATTAATAGCTTCATATGCTCAGAGGGATATTCAGCATCTGCTTTATTTTTATTTATTTTCACGTTTACCAATGGGTGCCCTTTTTTGCGAGGCATTGAAAAACCTCCCTGGTCTTTGTACTTGAATCTGTGCTTGAAATTCACTACTCGATTGAGGGACCTTACAGATAATTGAATGTGTGGGGTACAGAGATGGGGTAGTTATTCAGAAATCATGTTAACCACTATTATTGAACATGGAATGAGTCGGTGCAACTTATTATGCGATTTGTTAAGCACATGTTGACTCCTGAACTTATTTAGGCTTGCCATAACAAAGGGATTGAATACTTATTGACTCATGACATTTCAGCTTTAAATTTAGACCATGTCCCAAGACCATCTCCCTCAGTCACGACATCCCCTTCCAGTCTCATCCTTTGATTCCAGAATTGTAGATCTTCTACACAATGAGAGTTCTAGAATGTGTGTTCCTTCTGTCTCTCATCTCAGGTGAGTTAACTGGATGTATTTATGTCTAGTGTAGGAGAGAGGAGAGGAGCTGTGCTACTTGGTTGGAGGGTAACAATCATCTAAACTCTGTCTGTTTTTCAGCTTTTCAGGGGCAGTTACTCACCTCCTCTGAGCCAGTGGTGAAGAGACCTGGAGAATCAGTAACACTGTCCTGTACTGTGTCTGGAATCTCCATGGGTAGCTACTGGATGCACTGGATCCATCAGAAACCATGGAAAGGACTTGAGTGAAATGGGCCATTTGATGTGAGCACTGGCACTATATTTGCCCAGTCTCTCCAGGGCCAGTTCATCATCACCAAATACAGCTCCAAAAACCAGCTGTACTTAGAGGCGAAAAGCCTGAACCACCGTACAAAAACGGAGTAATACTGATCTCAGTGTGCGAGGCAAAGAGGCGTGTCTATTCTTTAAACACACAAACACACACTATGAGAGAGCAGAACTACTCAACAGTAGTGGAAAAAACACTGATATCAATATTATCCTGACAAAATAATCCACTCACATTATAACAGTGAAAATAACATTATTTACCTGAACCCAAAGTCAACTGTTTGCAATTCAGAGTTCATATTAACTATTACGTTTCGAGTATCTATTTCGGACAGAATTATATTAATGTTATCAGCAAACACATAGAGGATATACTCAAACTAAATACGGTAATAGACCATTTGTAGATCCTTGGGGAAGTCCACAATAGATTCCCAAGAGCAGATAAGCAGTAAACATAAAGAAGTCCAATTCAATACTAATTGTATTGTCTCACAAAGGGACATATTCTTGTTTCTGTGCTGTTCAACATTGTATAAAAGACTAAACATATCTAGTCTGAGCATCCCATATGAAACATCTGATAATAACAGAGAGAAGAATGAAGGACAGGGAGGAGAGAATCAATGAATAGAGTACAAGATCTCTCCCTCTCAGTCTGTATTTAAACCTCTAGAGGGCAGTCTATGCAAAGTCTCCCTCCCTTTCATCCCTTTATAATCAGACACTCAGCTCTGGCCTTCTCATTATAGGAAGCTTGGACTGACATTACAGCGAGCCCTGAACTAACTAATACTGAACAATGAGGACTCTCTATAGTTTAATACTTATGGTGGTGTTCATTCAAGGTATGTGTGTGAGTCTGTTGTGTCCACTAGAATCATTCTCAGACAGGCTTTTTCAAATAGTTTTCATTGTGACTGTTATAACTCAATAACAACATAATTATGCCCTACATATTAATAAAACGGGATGTGTTCAAACTTCAAAGTTATTTTTTAATTTGATCGTTTGTTAAACATTGTTTGTCATTTTGAATTTTCGCAGGTTTTCATGGCCAAACCCTGACTGAGTCTGAACCAGTGGCTAAAATGCCTGGAGAATCCCACAAACTAACCTGTACATATTCTGGAATCTCAACTAGCTCTGACTTTAACTGGATCAGACAGGCTTCTGGTAAAGGGTTGGAATGGATAGCTTACATTTATGGTCCAAGTGGTAGTAGCATCTACTACTCCCAGTCAGTTCAGGGTCGGTTCACCATCTCCAGAGACAACAGCAAGCAGCAAGTGTATCTCCAGATGAACAGCCTGAAGACTGAAGACTCTGCTGTTTATTATTGTGCCAGAGACACAGTGACACAGGAGGCTGCAGCACCGTACAAAAACTGAGCAAGCACTTATTTTACTGTGAGACTCAGTGAGACAATTCTGAGCTCCAGTTTCTGTCAACATCAATCCCATCGCCCCACCAACACTAGGAGAGAGTAGACACATCATATTCTAAATTATCATCCAAATCCATAAAATATACCTGACAACCTGTCAACATAACAGTATGAATATCCTCATGAAACTTCAACTGAAAACTTTATAGCCATTCAAAGTCAGTTGACAATGATAAATAACTTTAAACAGTTTCAATAATTTATACAGTCATTCAGTCAAATCAATTATCAATATCTATCAGCTAAAACCAATTTTTTTGGTCATATCTTTCAATTTTGGGAAAAATGTCAAATTTATGCAAATAGAATTACAATTTAAGTTTTAATGTCATGTGCACTAGTACAGTGAAATCCCTTTCTTGCAAGCTCCAAACCCAACAATGCAGTAATCAATATCAATGTAGCACAAAAAATAACATAAGGTAGAACAAAAACACACAATAAATAAAAATAATAAAGTAAGAAGCTATATACAGCGTAACTTCCAATATAATTTACAATGTGCAGGGATACTGGAGTGATAGAGGTAGCTATGTATAGGGGTAAGGGGACTAGGCATCGTGATATATGATAAACAGAGTAGCAGCAGCGTAAGTGATGATTGTATGTGAGTGTGTGTGCATGTGTGTAGATTCAGTATAAATGTGTGTGCATGTTATGTGTGTTATGGAGTGTCAGTGTGCGTGAGCATGTAGAGTCCTATGAGTGTGCATAGAGACAGTGCAAAAATAAAAATGTAATACAAGGGTCAACTCAGATAGTCCATGTAGCTATTCTGTTAGCTATTTATCTTATTGCTTGGGGATAGAAGCTGTTCAAGGCTGTTGGTGTCAGACTTCATGCACCGGTACCACTTGCTGTGCAGAAGCAGAGAAAACAGTCTTTGCTGGTTGGAGTCTTAAACAATTTTCCGGGCCTTCCTTTCACACCTCCTGATATAGAGGTCCTGGATGGCAGGGAGCTCGGCCCCAGTGATGTTCTGGCCTGTCCTTACCACCGTCTGTAGAGCCATGCCATCGAGGGCGGTACTGTTGCCATACCAAGCAGTGATGCAGCCAATCAAAATGCTCTCAATGGTGAAGCTCTATAACTTTTTTGAGGATTTGAGGGCCCATGCCAAACCTTTTCAACTTCTTGAAGGGCAAAAGACGCTGTAGGGCCTTCTTCACGACTGTGGTCGTGTGAGTGGACCATTTTAAGTCCTTAGTGGTTTGGACACATATGATCTTGAATTAGTATAATTAAGCAATAAGGCCAGAGGGGTGTGGTATATGTCCTGGATACAGCCCTTACCTGTGGTGTATTGCCAATATACCAATGTAATTAGAGCAGTAAAAATAAATGTTTTGTCATAACTTTCAGCCAATCAGCATTCAGGGATCGAACCACCCATTTTATAATATTAAATATGGAACCATGACGGTCATTAATGTTAAAGAGTAATGGAACAAGCATAGATGGAACAAGTATAGATGGAACAAGTATAGATGGAACAAGTGTATTGTATTAATCCGAATAGATTCTGTCATCCTGTGCTGTTCTGAGAAACAATGCTGCCAATATCAACCCTTAAAGAACGTTTCTCCCTCTCAGTCTATATTTAAACCTCTAGGGGGCAGTCTATGCAAAGTCTCCCTCCCTTCATCCCTTCATAATCAGACACTCAGCTCTGGCCTTCTCATTATAGGAAGCTTGGACTGACATTACAACACATTATCCACTAACTATCACTGATTAATGGAACTGATGACTATCTGGAGTTTAGTTCTCATGGTGATGGCCATACACTGTAAGTAAAGCACTATACAGTACATCATGGTGACTGAAGAATGTCTGAGTACTTATATTTGTATTTATTAAGGATCCCCATTAATTCCTGCCAAGGCAGCAGCTACTCTTCCTGGGGTCCAAACACATTAAGGCACTTACATTACACATAAAACAAAAGATAAAACAGTACATCATATAACATTATTACACCACTACATACAGTGCCTTCAGAAAGTATTCAGACCACTTGACTTTTTCAAAATGTTGTTAATTTTATATTATTATTATTATTTTTGGTCATTTAGCAGACGCTCTTATCCAGAGCGACTTACAGGAGCAATTAGGGTTAAGTGCCTTGCCCAAGGGCACATCGACAGATTTTTCACCTAGTCGGCTCTGGGATCAGAACCAGCGACCTTTCGGTTACTGGCACAACGCTCTTACCCACTAAGCTACCTGCCGCCCTAAGTTAAGTTACAGCCTTTTTCTTAAATTGATTAAATAAATAAAATCAACTCATCAATCTACACACAATACCCCATAATGACAAAGCGAAAACAGGTTTTCAAATTCTTTGCAAAAGTAATAAATATAAGAAACAGAAACACCTTATTTACATAACTATTCAGACCCTTTGCTATGACACTCAAAATTGAGCTCAGGTCCATCCTGTTTCCATTGGTCATCCTTGAGATATTTCTACAACTTCATAGGAATCCACCTGTGTTAAATTCAATTGATTGGACATTAATTGGAAAGTATACACACCTGTCTATATAAGGTTCCACAGTTGACAGTGCATGTCACAGTGGCCTCCATCATTCTCAAATGGAAGAAGTTTGGAACCACCAAGAGCTCAGGACCTCAGACTGTGGCGAAGGTTCACCTTCCAACAGGACAACGACACTAAGCACACAGCCAAGACAACGCAGGAGCGGCTTCGGGACAAGTCTCTGAATGTCCTTGAGTGGCCCAGCCAGAGCCCGGACTTGAACCCGATCTAACATCTCTGGAGAGACCTGAAAATAGCTGTGCAACGACGCTCCCCATCCAACCTGACAGAGCTTGAGAGGATCTGCAGAGAAGAATGGGAGACATTCTCCAAATTCAGGTGTGCCAAGCTTGTAGTATCATACCCAAGAAGACTCGAGGCTGCAATTGCTGCCAAAGGTGCTTCAACAAAGTACTGAGTAAAGGGTCTGAATACACATGTAAAATAAAATAAAAATATATATATATTTAACCTTTATTTAACCAGGTAGGCCAGTTGAGAACAAGTTCTCATTTACAACTGCGACCTGGCCAAGATAAAGCAAAGCAGTGCGATAAAAACAACAACAACACAGAGTTACATATGGGATAAACAAAACGTACAGTCAAAAACACAATAGAAAATCTATATACAGTTTGTACAAATGTAGTAAGTTATGGAGGTAAGGCAATAAATAGGCCCTAGTGCATAATAATTACAATTTAGTATTAACACTTGAGTGATAGATGTGCAGAAGATGATGTGCAAATAGAGATACTGGGGTGCAAATGAGAAAAATAAATAACAATAATGGGATGAGGTAGTTGGGGCTAATTACAGATGGGTTGTGTACAGGTGCAGTGATCGGTAAGCTGCTCTGACAACTGATGCTTAAAATTAGTGAGGGAGAAAATAGTCTCCAGCTTCAGAGATTTTTGCAGTTCGTTCCAGTCATTGGCAGCAGAGAACTGGAAGGAATGGCGGCCAAAGGAGGTGTTGGCTTTGGGGATGACCAGTGAGATATACCTGCTGGAGTGCATACTACGGGTGGGGGTGTTGCTATGGTGATGAGCTAAGATAAGGCGGGGATTTGCCTAGCAGTGATTTATAGATGACCTGGAGCCA